GTACCCTAGCAGGTATTCCCAGGGCCAGGCTGAAGACAGAGAATGAGTTCTTGCACCGTCGCCATATTTTGGCTCAAGAAATATATCCCCTCCCATCCATCATCAGAGTTTGGGGGAGGAGGATTGCTTTGCAGGATCGCTTGCGAATGGGGCGCCGTCCCGGGTGGCCAGAGGCGTTCATCCCGCTGTGCCGCATATGACAAATCTCGCAACAGAAATTGGGGTGCCCAGAGAATTTCGTGGCAATTTTTGTGCCCTGTCGCGTATCCAAGGTATCAGTTTCTGTGAGTTCGGAAAGAGTGGGATTAGGAACAGGAGTAGGAGGTGGAGAGGAACGAGACGGTTGGGAGGAGGAGAAGGAGGAGGAGGAGGAGGAGGAGGAGGACCAGGAGGAGGAGGAGAAGGAGGAGGATGAGGAGGAGGAGGAGGAGGAGGAGGATCGAGGATCGAGGATCGAGGAGGAGGAGGAGGAGGAGGAGGAGGAGGAGGAGGAGGAGGAGGAGGAGGAGGGGGCAGGTGTACCTGTTCTACGTATTCACTATGCACCTCCGGCACACGCGTGAAGGATTTCATGTTCTGACCATTGTTTTTTCTTTTCCGCCTCTCCCATCTGCCCGGCCCTTTCCGTGCCACAATTCGTGACCAGTGCTGCCTCGCTGGTGCCCGCCACCACCAACAAATTGCACACCCATGTCCACGACTGAGCGCAACCACTTCCCAGCAAGTATAGGATAGAGTGATAAGGATGATCGGAAAGATGACGATGATGATGATGATGATGATGATGATGATGATGATGATGATGATGAGGATGATGATGATGATGATGATGATGATCATCGTGGTGGTGATGATGGTAGTGATGATGAGGATGATGGTGGTGATGACGATGGTGGCGACGATGATGATGCTGGCGTTAACAAGAACGTTTATGATGGTGTTGATGACGGTGCTGTGCTGCTGCTGAAACTGATGATGCTGGTTATGTTGTTGATGATGCTGATGCTGATGATGTTGATAATGATGATGGTGATGATGACGATGATGGTGATGATGATGATGATGATGATGATGATGATGAGGATGAGGATGAGGATGAGGATGATGATGATGATGATGATGATGATGATGATGATGATGATGATGATGATGATGATGATGATGATGACGTGGAGCGGGAGGAGGACGACGCGGTTGCGGAGGGAGGAATGAGGAGGACAGACGATGGAGCCGAGTCAGTCCAGTCAGCGACGATTCATACGCTGTTTTCCTTGATCAGGGAAGTGTAGAAGCATACAAAGACACAGCGAGGCCATACCGTTTGGGGAACGATATGGTATCAAATTTTTGTGTTGAGTCTGTGCGGATCGGTTTCAGTCAGATTCACATCTTGCTTCTATGTTTTTCTGCGCCCCCAGACCTCCGACGTCATGTTTTTTGTGTGAGAGTGTGTGTGTGTGTGTGTGTATTTTTCAAAGCGTGGACCCCCAGAGGTCTCGGCCCATTCCCTGGGACTGGTTTTTCATCCCGGGTGGTTTTTTGACGCCCCCCGGGCCCGACGAGAGCCGTGGGAAACCGAAAACGGCCAAAAACCTCCCGCTATGTTTTTTCACAACGCGCATTCTTGGGAACACATGTCCGGGTCGGCGACAGTGATAGTATGTCCGTCTGCGTCCAATCTGATTGTTGCGAAGACCTTTCGGCTGGTGCCGCCGATCCCGAAGGCGGGACATCCCCCGGGACCCCCGCTGGCGACCCCTCATGGGCCCGCCACGACCTTGATGGGGGCGGTATTCTGACTTGGGAGCCCCCCCCTTTCCACCACCCCGCCCCACCTTCCCCCCCCCCTGGCAGGGAAGGGATAGAGGGAAGGGAACCGACTTGACTACGACGTTCTCTCGTTCGTTGGAGCCCGTTTCTTTATTGCTTGGGGCATGACGGGCGTCATGGCCCCCGCTCCCCCCCCCATGACGTAACGCTCCCCCCCCCAGTGCGCTCCGGGCACTGCCGCCGTGCGCATTGGGATCCGCCTAATTAGGTGTCAGGGATCCGCATAGGAGTCTGGTGCGCAGTCGTCGTCGTCGTCGTCGTCGTCGTCGTCGTCGTCGCTCGTGGCTTGTCGCTCGTCGCTCACAGTCGTCGTGCGCGCGGGCGCGGCTGAAGTTTGTTTTTTTATTCTGGGCCGATGACGTCAATCATCTAGGGGGGGGGGTGGAGGGGGTCGATGACGTCACGTTTCGCGCCGGCGGCGTCTGGGAATGCCTAGGAATGACGGAGGTCGGGTAGCGCCAGCATGTAGGTGGCGAGTTGCACCGCAACGCCTGTGTACATCACAGTGCCTGCGTGCACCACAGCGCCTGTGCACACCACGCCGCTTATGTACACCACAGCAGCCGCGTGCAACACAGCGTCAGTTTGTGCCACCGTGCCTGCGGGCACAACCGCTCTTGTGCACACCACAGCGCTCGCGTACACCACATCAACCGTGTGCAACACAGCATCACTGCATACCACAATGCCTGCGTGCATTGCAGCGCCTGTGTACACCACGGCGCCTGTGCACCACAGCAACCGTGTGCAACACAGCACCACTGTCGTATATAGAGTGTCAGAACAAATCCTTATGACAAAATGGATCGCTTGTGGATTCCACAAAAAATAACATAATCCTTATGGACAACGGAGCGCCGCTGGAATCTACGAGTCCTCCCGAGTCCACCCGTATCACCCTAACTCCTCCCATCTGCGTCCAGGAGGCTCCAGCTAAATTGGCCGTCCGAGAACCAAGTGGACCGATTCAATCGACCATTCTGCGGTGCGCGCGCTGGGATGCGCACGTGCGCTGTAGCGCCAACCCGCACGACAGTGGGTAAGGAGGAGGAGGAGGAGGACGAGGAAAAGGAGGAGGAGAAGGAGGTACTGGAGGTGGAGGAGGAGGGAGGAGGGAAGAACGTCGCATTCGATTATCAGCACTTCCCTGGCGTGACGTCTAGTTGTGCGCAGCAGATCCTCACGTACATGCTCCCTCTACCTGTCCTATGCACGCAAGCATCGGTGTACACCAGCGCTGCGTTGCACGCGGATGCTGTGGTGTAGACGCGCGCTTTGGCGTGCACAGGCGCTGCGGTGCACGCAGGCATTGGTGTACACAAGCGTTGCGTTGCACATGGTAGCTGCGGTGTGCACATGTACACCGGCGCTGTAGTGTACGCAAGCACTGTGGTGTACACAAGCGCTGCGTTGCACACGGTTGTTGCGGTGTGCGCAGGCGCTGTGGTATACACGCGCGCTGTGCTGCACGCGAGCGTTGTGGTGTACACAGGCGCACTGGGGCATATCGCCACCTACATGCTGCTCGCGTCGTCGTCGTCGTCGTCGTCGTCGTCGTCGTCGTCGCCGCTCGTCGCTCGTCGCTCGTCGCTCACAGTCGTCGTGCACGCGGGCGCGGCGGCGGTGCCAGAGCCACACGGCGGGGGGGGGGTGGGGCGTTACGTTATACTCCCCCTCGCCCCCCCCCCCCCATGACGTCTGTCATCGCCGAACATAAAGAAACGCGCTCTTGGGGTGGGCGGGGAGTCTCTTAACCTCTGCTGTGAGCCTTCGCGCGTTTAATGTGCGAGCTGCCGATGCAGGCCTTCGCTGTAGTTTGAACTGCTTTGAAAAGCAGGTGTCGCTGCCTCTGTGCAGGGCGCTTCGCGGTGCAATGATTTGGCCTAGACTGCAGTGAACCCCTACACGGATGGGTCTACAGGAGGAATATTCAAAAATAGTAAAAATATAGTCTGGGTTCGATTTTGGGGGTATTTTTGTTTGTATTTTTCTGTTTGTGACCATTTCTCATTTTTCGTCCAGAGTCCCCCTGTGGGAGGACATGCCCGACCTACACCTCGGGACGTCTGCGCGCGCCGCTCGCCGCGCGCGCACGGCGCCGCCGGGCAGCCAGGCCCCGCAGCGCGCGTTCGGCCACGCCGGCGGCAGCGGCGGGGGAGCGCTGCGGCTCGTCCTCGTCCTCGTCCGCGCCCGCCGAGCCGCGGCAGCCGCTCCTCCCAGGCGCCGGCGCCCAGCGTTTCGGCGACCTGGCTCTGCACGCCGACGTGGGAAGTGATTGTCAGACACCACGGGCTTGTCATCATGACCTTCTAGATTTGAATCGGGCGTGCCCCTCCACAGGAGGAGTATTCAAAAATAGTCTCACGTAGTATGGGGGCCATTTGTTGTGCATATGTCTGATTTTTCGGGGTGTCTTCAATCTTTCGCCCAAGATCCCCCTGCATGGGGGACAGGCCCGACCCAACCATCGATGCTTCGGTGGATAGTCTCTGCCTGCCGCCTTGCCTGCGCCGCAGGCACCTCCCCCCCGCCGAGAGCCGCTGTGTCGTGCGAGACACGGCTCTTGTGTTGTGGAGGACGATCAATGGAGAGGAAGCGTGTTGCCTAATAATTTCCAGATTTCTAGAACATGTGTTAAACCTGTTTAAAACATGTGTAAAGCATGTTTCAAGCATGCTCAGGGCATTTCCCCTCATTGTAAACACATGTTTCATTCGATGATAGGACTGTTCGGGCGTCCATTGTCGTGGCATCCGCAGCTGTGAGTGGGGGGAGCGTCTTTTCTCGGTGCTTCTTGTTCCAAGGGCCGCGGGTCGAAGCCGTCGTGCGGCGGCGAGCCCCAGGGGGGAAGGGAGCCCTCCTCCTCCTCCTCCTCCTCCTCCTCCTCCTCCTCCTCCTCCTCCCCCTCCTCCTCCTCCTGCTCCTGCTCCTCCTCCTCCTCCTCCTCCTCCTGCTCCTGCTCCTCCTCCTCCTCCTCCTCCTCCTCCTGCTCCTCCTCCTCCGTAGCCATTTTGGCTCAAGATGCTTTGTTCCACAGGGGAACACGTGGATACCGCTAGTCCGCGGCCAGTGCCAGGGCTGCTCATCAGTCCGACAGTGATTTCAGGGGATCACGATCCCGTCGCTAGCAGCGCGACGGTACAAGCCCCTTTCCTTCATCAGAGCCTGCCATGGCGCCGCCGCAGCAGCCTCGCACGAGCTATACCATGTGCCCGACCCCGTCTTGCCGTGCTGGCAAGCAGTGGGATTGGAACTGGCGTATTGTCAAGAATGGCGGAGCTTGCTCGGTGTGTGGACAGGTGCAGCAGCTATACTCTCCGAAGAAGAAGAAGGACAAGCCCAAGGGAGGACCGCCGAAGGGGCCGGGGCCAGCCGTGCCCGCCGCTTCATCTCCTGCGATCTTCAGCCCCTGGGGTAAGGCGAAGCTCATCAACCAGCTTGAGGCCCTCGTGCAGCAAGATGCATCGGTTACGGCTTCAGTTCTCGCCATCAAGCAGGCAGTTGAGACGCCCGCATTGCCGAGGTCGCGCACACCCTTGGAGCAGCTCCAGTCCACGGAGGCCAAGGCGAAGCAGGCGGCCACCAATGCACACAACTTTCTTACGGAGATTTCAAACTTGGAGACGCGCCTCAAGCAGGCGCGCCAGGACTACGATCAGGCCATGGAGGAGCTCGTGGACGCTGAGGAGGCCCATGAGGCTGCGGTCCTGGCCTACAACAATGTTCGCGGCCAGACGGCTTCCGAGGTCAAGCCTGAGTCTGTGCCCGATTTCTTGGCAGCATATGAAGATAAGCTCAAGAGCATTTCGATTGAGGAGTACGAGGATGGAGAGGCCAAGGACAAGCTGCAGACGGCCCTCACGGCGATGGATGAGGCCAAGGACCAGGCCGCGGCGGTCATCCACGCCGTCCAGAAGGCCCTCGAGGGGGTCAAGCTGGCTGCAGCGCAGGCGCCCCTCAAGAGGCGGCGCGTGGTGGAGGTGGTGTCTGGCCCAGAGGCGACGGCTTCGGCAGTCGGCGCTGAGGGTTCGCTGGGCCCAGCCACCAAGGCTGAAGGCGGCGCCGAGGTGGGCGCCGCTACTGGCACCGAGGGAGCCAAGGCGGCGGCCGCGGCAGCAGCCCCAGCAGCAGCCCCGTCGGATGCTGAGGCCAAGGCCCGAGCCTCCAAGGTCAAGGCTGCACGGGAACGGCTCGAGCAGTCCGCTGCGAAGGCCTGCCCAGTCGCGAGGTCCCCTGCGGATGTCGGCGTGGCAGCTGCCCCTCCTGGCCCTGGCGGCGGCGGTGATGGTCGGCCTCCACCTCGCGCCAAGGCCCCTCCTCCGAAGAGGGGGTAGCACCACGCTGGATGATGTGGATATCGACCCCCTTCAGGACATGCAGTGCAGCGACGACGATTGCTTTGGAAACGATCTGGAGCAGCATCATTCCTTTGCGCCTAGCCCTATGCAAGGCGCGCATGCAGACATTCACCTGGCCCGCCTATCGACGACAGGAGTGAGCTGCGTAGCATCAGCGACGTCGGAGTTGGCACCTGCGACCTCGGCCTCAGGCAGTCCCCAGCTGGCCCGCTCTTCGGGGATGGGGGTACGAGCGAGGTACGAGGCATCGTCAGCTCCGTGGAGGCCGACTCCGTCGACCTCGAGCCCAGGCATCCTCCATCTGGCCCGCTCTTCGGGGGTGGAGGCACGTGCGAGCTGCGTGGCATCTTCAGCGACAGCGGAGTTGTCGTCTCTGGCTGCGGGGTCAGGCAGCCCCCATCTGGCCCGCTCTACGGGGGTGGGGACACGAGCGAGCTGCGAGGCATCGTCAGCTCCGCCGAGGTTGGCTCCCTCGACCTCGAGCCCAGGCATCCTCCATCTGGCCCGCTCTTCGGGGGTGGAGGCACGTGCGAGCTGCGTGGCATCTTCAGCTCCACTGGAGTTGGCTCCGTTGGCTCCGAGTACAGGCGCCCTCCATCTGGCCCGCTCCTCGGGGATGGAGGCACGTGCGACATTGGAGTTGGCGTCATCTACCTCGGTGTCTTGCAACCCCCATCTGGCCCGCTCTTCGGGGATGGGGACACGAGCGAGATGCGTGGCCACGTCAGCTCCGACGGTGGCGTTCCAGTCTACTACGGGGGGTGGCTGCCTCCATCTGGCCCGCTCTTCGGGGATGGAGACACGGGCGAGCTGTGTGGCGTCAGTGGTCACGCGGTCGGCTCGTGAGGAACAGACCCCCCCCTGCCAGCCAGTGTTGTCTTCGGCCCATGAGGAGGCACCTCGCCGTGCTGGAGCGTCTCTATTCTTTGCGAATGTCACGGGATGGGGGCCCCGCATCCACAAGTTTGTGGTGGAACATAAGTGTAAGTACGGCATGATGGCGTTTGTGGAGACTCACGTCACCGAGGCGAAGCTCATTCATTATCGTGCCAGTCTGGACGTTGACGGTTGGAAGTTATCGGCTTGTGCTGCGGTGGGCACGGGCCGGTCCGCTGAGGGCACGAGTGGAGGCGAGTGGGTTTTGGCGCGGTCCCATCTTGCTACCACGTCCTTCGATCGGCAGAGGGCCCTGATGACCAAGGAGCGCCAGAAGGATCCCTGCCGAGGCTGGGTCCCAAATGTCTGGCACCTGCGAGCAGGCAACCTCATTGTTATCGCGGCCTATTTCTTACCCACGCACGGGTTCGGGGGCCTCAATCTTGACAGATGGGCTTCTCTACGTGCCTTTTTGGCATCAGTATCTGACCCGTGGATCATCGTTGCAGATTGGAACCTGACCCCGACGGCCCTGGAGCGCAACTCGTTCCTCAAGGATGTGGGAGGCACAATTTCTCTCCCAGATGTCTGTGTCACCTGCGACAAGGGTGCGGGGTCGCTCATTGACTATGCGGTGGCGTCAGTGTCGGTGGCAGACTTAGTCTCAGTCAAGGGTGTTCTTACTGTTCCTTGGAAGGTCCACTGTGGCCTCCATGTTGAGGTACAGGGCACGTCGACGGCATGGTGGCACCGCGCTCTGGTCTTGCCGCGGCCGCTCCCTGGTGTGGATCGGCCACCGACGGCCCCTGACCCGCGGAGCAAGACCTACCAGCGCAAGCACGCAGCCCTCCAGAGGCGCAAGGAGGCCTTGCCTCCAGATCATCAAGATGCGTTTTACGAGCTCCATCAGCCCCCTGACCCTCAAGGTTTGACTGGTGATGTCTTTGAAGTCAGCCTGGATCGATGGAACTCTAACTTGCCCCCTGGAGCGGATGGAGACGGGTGCCCGAAGTACACCTTCACGGCGGAGATGCGCATGATTGGCGAGTCTCCTATCGTCTCGTGGGCACTCGAGGGGAACGACCAGCTATCCCAGGACTATGGCAGGTGGGTCAGCCAGGTTGAGCAGTCCCTCCTTGACCCGAACCTCTCGGCCCTCGAGCGTGCGCCGTACATTGGCAGAGCCCGAGGGTTTGCAGTTGCGTGGAAGAAGTCGGTCTCGTCGCCTGGTCGAGGCCACTGGAAGTATGATGGTGCTGAACATTGGTCGGTTATGGACACACTCTGCAGGAGGACCTTGGCCTTAATTCTTCATGACAAGGATGATGAGCAGATGTGTAGTGCGTTGGCCAGTGCTGCTGGTCGAGTTCAGCATCTCCGACAGTACCACTTGGATCAGCGACCTGACTTACAAGACAGAGCCAGGACGGCTCTTGATCAGATTGTCTCCCTGCACAAAGGGGTCCACAGTCTTAGCAGCGACCAGATGGTTGAGGGGCTGTGTCAGGTCGTGGTGGCAGTTGAGGCGGTTGCAGCTTGTGAGGTGGCGAGGGGCATTGGCAAGGCTCGCAAGGCCTATGCTGACTGGGTCCGCCGCATGTGGCGCATTTCCCCTGGCGCTCTCCACCGACACGTGCGTGACCCTGTCGCCCCTCGGCCTGAGGATGCCACGGTGGAGACCACTCCCAGTTCCTTTGCTGCCAATGCGGTGGCTGACCCCATCACGATCATGGCCAACAAGTCGACGAAGTGGGGCAAGATTTGGAGCGATGCAGTGGATACCCCAGCTAGTATCATTCAAGCGCTGAGTGCAATACGACGCAAAGCAGCTGAGGAGGACATCCCTCCGCTGCATTGTGAGCAGCTCCAGGCTGCTATCCGAGTCACGGGCAACAAGAAGGCTCGTGGAGTTGATGGGCTTGGGGCTGGCGACCTGAGCCGCCTCCCGACTCAGGCCCTCGAGGAGCTCAGGGACCTTTTCCAGCGATGCGAGGCAGCCCAGGCATGGCCGCTGCAGTTGGCGGCCACTCTTTCTGCCCTTGCTCCGAAGCCGTCGGGGGAAGGAGATCGTGTGCTGGGTATGGTGCCGTTGCCTGTCAAGCTGTGGTCGCGTGCTCGCCAGGCATTCACTTCGCAATGGTGCCCTGCGCGTGCTGCGTTCTGGGGCACAGCAGTGCGTGGCTCTTCAGCCTTGCGCGCTGCCCTCTTGAGGGCGACGCTCGACGAGGCGGCCCAGGAGCAGCATATCAGCTTCCTGGTCCTCCTCTTGGACATCGAAAAGTTCTACGACAGCGTCTCGCTGGTGGGCCTCCTCCAGATTAGCCTGGACTTCGGCTTCAGTCCGACGGTCATGGGTCTCGAGGTGCAGGTCTACCTCCACCCGCGCTACCTGCGCGAGCGCGGCTGGCTCAGCGAGGCGATCTTCCCGACGCGCAGCATTGTGGCTGGCTCGTCCCATGGGGTCCCCTTCTCCAAGCTGGCCCTCTACCCCATCCTGGAGAGGGTGCATCAGGAGGCCCCGTCGGCGTCACTCTGGACGTTCATTGACGATACGGTCGGACGGTGCGAAGGCTCTGCGGAAGCTGTATTACCTGCTATGGATGTTGTGGGCACGTCCTTGGCCCAAGGGTTGAAGCAGCATCGTTTGGTTGTCTCCTCCAAGTCTGTGATCCTTGGCTCGTCGGCCTCCCTGGCCAAGAAGTCGGCACAGAGGTTGCGTGCGGGAGGAGTTCCAGTGAGGCCAGTGTTGCAGGGCGTCGACCTCGGCGTCGACGTTGCGGCCGCCAGGCGCAGAGTTTGTGCCAAGGCCATCTCGAGGCGAGTCAAGGCACAACGACGAGCTGGGCGCATCAAGAGGCTCAGGCGTATGGCTGCACTTGGCCGTGAGGCCCGCGGCTTGTGGGCGACTGGTGCGTGCCCGCAGTCTACATATGGGCGCCAAGTTCATGGCACCTCTCCGTCGGCCCTGCTGGCACTGCGGCGCCAGGCTGGGGCTGCCGTCACTGGTGGCCAAGGTGGGCGCTGCTTGACCAGCACACTGGCGGCGTCTTTCGGCTTGAAGGACCCTGCGGTGGAGATACGACGGCAGTTAGTTCTGGAATGGCTCAGTTTCTGGCAGGCTCAGCCGCAGCTGCATCGGCGACTCAGGCTTGTGTGGCCGTCGATTCGGGGCCGCCTTGCGAAGGCGGAGAGGCGGCGTTGGAGCATTGTCAGAGGTCCGATTTCAGCAGTGATTGCTACTTTGATGGATGTGGGGTGGGATCCTAAGACTGCGACGGTCTGGACCCGCCCGACTAGCGCTGGAGTTGATGAGTGGCACATCCCGTCGAGCGGCGACGAGGCGTTCGAGAATTTCGGCTCGACGACAGAGCTGATCGACGACCTCATCGGGGACATCCGCTCGGCGCTGTGGGTAGAAGCAAGTAAGCATGACAATGGCGAGGGCCTGGCGGGTGGCGGTGACTTCTTCCATATCATGAGGGAGCTCAAGCGCCACCAGGCCCGTGGCCAGCATGATGAACATGGATTGAATTTGACGGTCGTGGCTGGAGGGCAGTGGACCCGCACTCGCAGGCACCTCTGCGGGTACAAGCTGGAGTCGACCACATGCCCAAGGTGCGAGAAGCATCCAGAGACACTGTTCCACAGGATTTGGTCCTGCGAGTGCAACGGCAACCACGACGACTACGACAAGACTGCCTCGCTGCTGCCTGCGGCGACAGCGCAGCATGAGAGCCAGCCAACTTTCTGGCTCCGTGGCGTGCCCAGCGTCTGCATGACCACGCCTCGCTTCGACGAGGCGCTGCTGGCCGAGCTCGAGCTCAGGCTGCCAGGCGCCTTTCATGAATGTGAGGAGGGGGGGTGGACGGTGGTGTACGGGGACGGGTCTGGAGGGAAGCACTCAGACGATCCTCGTCGGCGCCGCTGTGGAGCTGCTATCGTGGCCCTTGCGCCTGATGAGCAGGGTCAGTTCCAGGAGCGTGCTGGCATGGCGGTCCCTCTCCTCGGGCTGAAACAGTCTGTCCCGAGGGCCGAGCTGCTTGCGTTTTGCCTCATGCTCGAGAATGTTCCAGGTAATGTTGAATTCGTCACCGACCATAAGAATATAGCCAGGTCTTGGAAGTCTATCCTTGAGAATCCCAGGGCCTCTCGCCTCCAGGAGGACCTCTGGGAGCGTGCTAGGAAGTCTTGGAGATCCAGGCCTGGCCAGCTTGTTGTTCGGTGGACCCCATCCCACACGGATGAGAGAGCGAGTTTTAACTGTGAGCAAGAGATGCTCACCGCCATGGGAAACATGGCTGCGGATATCTGGGCGGGGAGGGCGGCGGAGTTGGCGTGGGAGAGGGGGCTCGTGGGGGACCTTCCTCGGACCGATGCGGTCGACTCTGCTGCTGCTATGATCAGGAGGCGTGCCCGTCGTGCGCTTCAGGATGCTGCTGCCGCCGACAAAACGTCGAAGGCTGAGAGGGATGCGGTGCCCATCCAAGCGGTGCCGAAGTCTAGAGTTGCTCGAGCTCTCGCTGCCTCCGCCCACCGCCTCCACCTGAGGGGCTCCGTGTGGGTCTGTGAGGCGTGCCACCAGGCTGTGCCCCAGTCGAGGTTTCTGGAGTTGAGCTCGAGCCCCTGTTTAACCCCCCCTCCTCCTCCTCCTGAGGCTCCTCCCCCTCCCAGGGATCTGAGGATCACCCAGGGTATCGGTTTGAATTTGCAGGGAGTTGAAGTCCACCCGTCGCACTCGCTCGGCCGAGCGGACCAATTCTTCCTGACCTTTTGTCACACCTGTGGGGCCTACGCTACAGTGGACCCCCGTCATCTCATCTCTGAATGCCGTCCGAGTCGGAAAGGCTTGGAAAACTTGGCCCGTCTGGGGAAGGGGCTCTACCCTCGTCGTGACGGGCCCCCTAAGGCTGTAAAGATGGCGATGCAGGCTCGTGATGAGTTTGACGCCCGACAGGGGCGCCCGAGTGGGAGCGGAGCTGGATCGTTTAGCGATCCTGGCCCCGCTCTCACTCTCTCTCAGGATGCGCCCGCGGGTCCAACCCACTAATTCCCGAAGGCGCCGTCCTCCTTTGTTGCCACTGCCCCAATTGTCTCCCTGTGGGCTGGGGCGTTGTGGCCCGCAACGCTGTTGCTCCGATTGAATCCAGCTTGAATCCTGCTCCTCCTCCTCCTCCTCCTCCTCCTCCTCCCCCTCGCTCCTCCTCCTCCTCCCCCTCCTCGTCAGGGGGCGGGCCTTCTCAGGAGGCTCGGAAGTCCCCCGGCCTTCCGAGCAGTTTTTGTCCCAGCCTTCCCCGGGCGTGCGCAGAAAACTTCTGCAGAAGGCCGGAGGCCCCCTGAGCAGCCCCGCCGCCTTCTGAGAGGGCCTCCCCCTTCTCGCGCCCTCTCCTTCCCCCGACGCGATGCGTCGGCGAGCGAGAAAGGCGTTCCGACAAGGCCCCCTCGCTCGCCGCCGAAGCGTGTCGGCGGATGTCCTGGAAGTGCACGCCGACACGGCCCCCCTGGCCTGGCCCGCCCTGGGCCCCGGATTTTTCGAAGGAGTTTTGGGCCCCGGAGGCCCGAGGAGCGGGTTGGGGAGGAGCGACCAGGGGTCGCAGAGGAGGACGAGGTGCCTGGTCTCATGCCATTCTGAGTGAAGAGGAGCGAGGGAGGAGGAGGAGGAGGAGGAGGAGGAGGAGGAGGAGGAGGAGGAGGAGGAGGAGGAGGAGGAGGAGGAGGAGGAGGAGGAGGAGGAGGAGGAGGAGGAGGAGGAGGAGGAGGAGGAGGAGGAGGAGGAGGAGGAGGAGAGGAGGGGAGGAGGAGGAGGAGGAGGGAGGAGGAGGAGGAGGAGGAGGAGGAGGAGAGGAGGAGGAGGAGGAGGAGGGAGGAGGAGGAGGAGGAGGAGGAGGAGGAGGAGGCGGCGGTTGCTGGTTTCTGCCTCTGCTCTGCAGGCCCTCGCCGTGCCCCGGCACTTTACACAAAAACTAGCTCATATCCCTCCTTCTCCTCCTCCTCCCCTCCTCCTCCCCTCTTCCTCCTTCTCCTCACCCTCCTCCCCGTATTCCTCCTCCTCCTCCTCCTCCTCCTCCTCCTCCTCCTCCTGGGGCTTCCCCCGGGCCGCCTTGGGCTTCCCAGGTCTCGGGCGATAGTTTTCTCCCCAGACCCGCCGTGTTACCTCGATCTCGGCCTCGGGGGCCCGTCGTCGGGCCATGAGGCCATCGCAAGCGGACCCAGAACGGAGACCTACCCCGGCGGAAAGGCTCGGGAGCTCTGGTGCCGTGGGCTGAATGAACCACATCGGCGGATGCCTGTGTCCCCGGGGCTGGGTTGGGCAGCCATCCAGCCATGATGCTGATCGTCACGCGCCCTTTTACCCGGGATATCCATCCATCCCTGCACTGGGCCCCGCCGCCGCTGGCCCGCTGACGCAGCAGCTGTCGCGGGCTCGCCGGCGGGGCTGGCCGCGCCGCTCGCTCGGGGAGCAATCCGTTCCCTCCTGAGCCGCTCGCTCCGTCCGCCCCTTTTTCGGCCGCGCCTCCCCCCTCTCCCCCTCTTGCACGGTGGCACAATTCGCTCTAACGGCATCCCCGTTGAGGCATCCCATCGCCAGCGCAGACGTCCCCTTTCTAGCCGCCGACGCGAAAAAAGTGTTCCTGGGGCCTCCTGGATCCAGCTGGCCCCCGGCGAGGACTGGTGTCAGCGTGCAGCTTGTATCCTCGTGCCACCGAAGAAGCACAGACGACGCGAACACACATCTTCGGAGGTCCGCGCGGATCTTTCGAATCGGCGCTGGTTCCTCCCCCTGGTGGCGCCTCAGCGTTCCGATCCGAGAAATCCGCGCGGACCCCCGAGAGTTCATGGCTCTGCCGTTTGATCTCCGCCGGTGCCAGCTCGACGACAGAAGGACGTGCCCACACCTGGCCTCCCGCCTGACCCGTCCTCACCCCTCCTTCCGCCTGTCTCACCCCTGAACTCGGCCAGCTGAGTTCGGCCAGGCCGAACTCGGCCAGCTGAACTCGGCCAGGCTGAGCTCGGCTACGTTGAGTTCGGCTCAGGCCGGGTTTGCTGGTTGGCCTGGCCGAGTCTTTCCCTTGTCCTCTGGGCCAGGCGCCAGGTGGTGGTGGTGGTGGTGTGTGTGTGTGTGTGCGCCTGCGGACCAGAGATGCGTCTTTTCAATCGGATAGGGGACGGTGAGGTGGACAAGTCGCCAGCGCGAGACAGTCTTGTCCACAACTGCGGGGAGCAGCTCACCAGAGCAACGTTATGATGTGGACCCGGACCGCGGGGATAACAATTCTCCAGAGCAATATGATCTTGCTCTCTCGCTCTCTTGCTCTCTTGCTCTCTTGCTCTCTTTCTCTCTCTCTCGTCTTGTGTTCCACTGCTGCCACCTCCTCTTGCACATCCAGATTGTTCTGACCCCAGGGAGCATACGAGGTGGAGATGATGATGATGATGATGATGATGATGATGATGATGATGATGATGATGATGATGATGATGATGATGCTGCTGATGATGATGATGATGATGGTGATGGTGATGGTGATGGTGATGGTGATGATGATGATGATGCTGATACTGATGATGATGCTGATACTGATGATGATGATGATGCTGATGATGATGATGCTGCTGATGATGATGCTGATGATGATGATGCTGATGCTGATGCTGATGATGATGTTGACGATGATTACGATGATGATGCTGCTGCTGATGATGATGATGATGATGATGATGATGATGATGATGGTGATGGTGATGATGGTGATGATGGTGATGATGGTGATGCTGCTGATGATGATGATGATGATGATGATGATGATGATGATGATGATGATTATGATGCTCTTGATGATGATGATGATGAGGAGGAGGAGGAGGAGGAGGAGGAGGAGGAGGAGGAGGAGGAGGAGGAGGAGGAGGAGGAGGAGCTCTTTTGCCTCTCTGGCCAGGGGGCCCGCCGTGGGGCCTGCCGGCGCCGTCGCCGCGCATGCGCGACTGGCACAGGCAGCTGGCTGCCACCCCCGATGGCAGGCGGGCCCCTTCTTTCTCGGCTCCTTCGCGGAAGTGGAGGGGGAGGAGGGGGAGGAGGAGGAGGAGGAGGAGGAGGAGGAGGAGGAGGAAGGCAGAGGTGGAGGAGGAGGAAGAGGAGGAGGAGATGGAGGAGGAGGAAGAGGAATAGTAATACTAGCAGTAATACCAACAAGAATAAGACAACTAATACTCATAAGAATGTTGCAAGTAATAGCAGTAATACTAGCAAGACTACTAATTGTAAGAATGCTAATCGTAAGCAGTGCAGTAATAATAAACAGACCAAGAAAACTAATAAGAGGAAGCATACTTATAATCATACTATGAATACGAATAATAATACTAACAATAAGAAGAATACTAATAATTAAAAGAATACGAATAATCAAATAAGAAAAAGAGGAGGAGGCGTCGGAGGAGGAGGAGGAAGAGGAGGATCAGGAGCAGGAGCAGTTGCAGGAGGACGAAGACGACGACGACGACGTTGACGTTGACGACGACGACGAATACGGGGACGACGTCATGGCGGCGGCAGAGAGGGATTTTGAAGAATTATTGCGGTCAGGGACTTCGGCTTGGCTTGTCGCTCAGCCGTTTTTGGCCCATGACGCCGCGGCGCGACACGCTATCCACGTCCCAGTCCCCAATCGTCAACGTCCCGAGCATTTCCTGACCTCTCGCTTGGCGGAGCGGAGCGACACGCTATCTGTTCGCAGGGCATGGCGTGTCGCCGGGCCGCCGCCGCGACACGGGGAGGAAGCGAGGAAGGGAGGGGGAACGAGAGGAAAAGGTGGCAAGCGGGAGATAGGAGGCTTGAGGACGAACACGACTCAGCAGGAGGGGGATGAGAAAGAAAACAACAGTATGATTGGCATGCGGACCCTGATGGGTGGGTCGGGCGGGCGGACCCAACGGGCGAGTCTGGTGGGGCTGGCCTGGCGGGCGGGACATGAAAGCGAGCGGGCGGGCTTCCAAGAGAGCGGACAGGCGGACCCTGATGGGCGGGCAGGTTGGGCGGGCGGACCCCGACGGGCGAACCAGGCGGACGGCCCGAACAGGCGGATCGGGCAGGACATAAAAGCGGGCGGGCGGGCTTCCACCAAGCGAACGGGCGGACACTCTCGGGTGGGCAGCCCTGGCGGGCGGGTCGGGCGGGCGGGCCTAAACGGGCGTGTCGGGCGGGCGGGGCATCAGACTTATCCTCGTGAGTTGTCAGTGCATCTCCGGCGAAGCGCGATTCCACCATGAGTTTTGAGGAAGTCCCGGGAGACAGCATGATTTCTGAGTTTCGGGGTGAGTTGCCCGAGTACCTTGGCAGGAAGTTCGAAGAACGGGCTCGACCCCTGGGCAAATTGCAAGGAAGATCGAAAGCGCGATTCATTAACACATCGCGAGGAAGCCTCGATCGAAGCCTCCCTTGCATCGCGAGGAAGTGTCGGGCGGGGGCCATTGTTGTTACGACGCAGTTTGGGCCGGGATACCTTTTCTTGTAAAACCAGGGCGCGAGCCCTGGGTGGAAGGGCGCATTATGGAATAAACATGCGCGCTGGTCTGAGGATCAACAGTACGGTCAGGATGTGTTGCGTTCTGTCTCCATCCTGTTCCTGTTTCAGGGGCCACATCAACAACACGAAGCAGACAACGAAGATATGCCCTCCAATGGGGGTACGATCGAAGCCAACGAGGGAGGTTAGCGAAGGTTTGAGGGTACACATATTTATTTCTATGTATCTATGCATTCCCAACCCTCCTTGGTCGGGTATTCGTTTCGAACAGAGCATTGCGGTCGCGTCTTCTCCTTCTCTTTCTCCCGCCTCCCGCCTCGTGCCTCTCGCCCCCCCTCCTTCTTGGCTCCTCTTGCCTTGTGCGTAGTTGCCGCTTGTGTGTGCATGTTGCTTGCGGTACCTGTCTCCGACCTTGCCGACCCTTGGAGGCTGCGTTCTGCGAAGCTGTCGCCACCTTCGAGGGCTGCTGGGGGGGACAGCATAGTGCGTAGCCGCCGCGGACCCAAATTAGACCTCGCCATCCATGGGGGGCTGCGATGTGCGAAACTGTCGCAACTTTCGAGGGCTGCTTGGGGGGGGGGGGACAGCATAGTGGGTAGCCGACGCGGACCCGAATTAGACCTGGCCATCCCTGGGGGCTGCGACTTGCGAACCTGTCGCAACTTTCGAGGGCTGCTGGGGGGGGACAGCATCGTGGGTAGCCGCCGCGGACCCGAATTAGACCTGGCCATCCCTGGGGGGCTGCGATTTGCGAACCTGTCGCCACTTTCGAGGGCTGCTGGGGGGGGGGGGGGGACAGCATAGTGGGTAGCCGCCGCGGACCCAAATTAGACCTGGCCATCCCAGGGGGGCTGGGGGGGACAGCATAGTGGGTAGCCGCCGCGGACCTACATTAGACCTGGCCATCCCTCCCTGGGGGGCTGCGACTTGCGAAAGTGTCGCCACTTTCGAGGGCTGCTGGGGGGGGACAGCATCGTGGGTAGCCGCCGCGGACCCGAATTAGACCTGGCCATCCCTGGGGGGCTGCGATTTGCGAACCTGTCGCCACTTTCGAGGGCTGCTGGGGGGGGGGGACAGCATAGTGGGTAGCCGCCGCGGACCCAAATTAGACCTGGCCATCCCAGGGGGGGCTGGGGGGGACAGCATAGTGGGTAGCCGCCGCGGACCCACATTAGACCTGGCCATCCCTGGGGGGCTGCGACTTGCGAAAGTGTCGTCACTTTCGAGGGCTGCTGGGGGGGGACAGCATCGTGGGTAGCCGCCGCGGACCCAAATTAGACCTGGCCATCCCTGGGGGGCTGCCATTTGCGAACCTGTCGCCACTTTCGAGGGCTGCTGGGGGGGGGGGGGAGGACAGCATAGTGGGTAGCCGCCGCGGACCCAACTTAGACCTGGCCATCCCAGGGGGGGCTGGGAGGGGCCAGCATAGTGGGTAGCCGCCGCGGACCCACATTAGACCTGGCCATCCCTGGGGGGCTGCGACTTGCGAAAGTGTCGCCACTTCCGAGGGCTGCTGGGGGGGGGCAGCATCGTGGGTAGCCGCCGCGGACCCGAATTAGACCTGGCCATCCCTGGGGGGCTGCCATTTGCGAACCTGTCGCCACTTTCGAGGGCTGCTGGGGTGGGCTGCGATTTGCGAACCCGTCGCCGCTCTCGAGGGCTGCTTGTGGGGCCAGCTGCAGTGGGGAGCTGCCGCAGATCCTAATTACCCCTCGTCATCCCCGGGGGGCTGCGATTTGCGAAAGGGTCGCCACTTTCGAGGGCTGCTTGCGAAACTGTCACCACTTTGAGGGCTGCTGGCGGGTTTAGCAGAGTGAGGCACCACGCAGATCTGAGCGGGACCTCACATTCCCTGGGGGGCTGCGAGCCTCGCGCATGCCGCTCGCAGAAGTATATGCGCCCATGTCGCGTCATCACCTCCGTATAACGTCTCCCAGGCTACTCATGCCTCGCATTGTGCAGGGCTTGGGTACGTCGCCAGTATGTATATACACATATATATATATACACACATATATGTATATAATTGTAAAACACATGCAGATGTATGTGTACACAAGGCTGCATTGGCGCTTCGCGCCACGCACCTTGTTCTTTGAAGTTTGGTATGCAGGCGGAGTGGCAGGCAGGTGGAGCCGACAATGCAGCGATAACTCCCTGTTGCCTTTTTGGGGCATCGCCGTTAGAACAATGTGATTCGTTGTCCTTCCTCCACGTCTCTCTTTCCTCATTCTCGCCATACCCTGCGTATTCTCCCCATCCTGCTCAGCTCTTTTTGCGGAGGCTCCTCCTTGGAGAGCCTCTGGGGGCCTCGCACAAGTTCTTCTAGGTTTTCCTGAGGCCTTCTGGAGGCCGCCTGGGCGTCTGCTGGGGGCCTCTGGGGGCTTCGTCGGGCCACCCTGCCTCCACCGCGGTCTCCCTGCACGACCGGGTCACGATTTGGAATGCTTCGGAGAGTGTCTCAGGGCCATCTTAGGCCGTCATGGGGCTCTCTTAGGCCATCTTGGAAGCCTGTTGTGCCGTCTTGGGGCTCTCTTGGACTGCCTGGAAGTCCTTTCGGATGGTTGTGGGGCGATTTCCGAGCCTCCCAGACGGCTTGGGACGCGCAGAAGACCGTCGTCAGGGAGCCTCGGGAAGCCGAAAATAAGAGAACCCGGAAACTCACCAAAAATCAGAAAATCAATTACGCTACCGAGGATCCCCACATACTTGCATTATGGCTGGAGTGATGATAGCTACTACTACTGCTGCTACTACTACCTGCTGCTACACGCCTTGCGACCAGGGTCTTGCTGCCCAACGGCGGTCCGTCTCCGCCCGCTCAAGGGACAGCTGAATGCGAGGGGTGCCTGTGGAACGAACAGAGGTAGCAAGCAGAACTGCTCGGGATCGCTGGGGAGTGATGGCCTGCATGGGCGTGGACTTCATGGGCGTGTCCTGCGCGGTCGCGGCAACGCGCCCGTTGCCGGCATCGCCGACCCGCCGAACTTTCACTAATGGCGAGCCATCGCCACCCTCCGCCACCCCCGGCTGATCAGCTGGGAACCCGCCGGAATAAGGATTCTGCAAGTACTTGACTAAGCATTGCCTCCTTGCATCGCCGTCGCCTCGTAGAGGTGGCAAATTGTCGTACTTGGCGAGGAGCGTCCCAGGCCACCAATTCAGAAGCTGTCGCTGGTAAGCATGAAATGCGCTGTGTACCAAAACGTTCCCACGTCTGGCAACATATGCGCGCAAACCATCTAGGTTCACTTCGGCGCCCATCTCCAACATTGTGTTTTTGAGCTGCTCGCACGAAGGTGGCAACGCGGTGATGGACGCATTTGGGCACCATAACAAGGAACTTACCTTTCACGGGGAATCACTGGCGGTCGCCAGCTTTCACCGATCGAGCTGCGTGAACCGGCATAAGCCAGGATGGCTACAGCTCTTGATGATGATGACGATGATGATGATGACGATGATGATGATGCTGATGACGATGATGATGAGGAT